CCCCCCCCCCCCACCCCCCCCTCCCTCCCCTCCGCCACCTCCTACTCTTGCGCTGTTGCCAACACAATCGTTCACCTCCATGTTATACGTCACGGAATAAACACAGTATTATTCTCGTGTTCTTTATGCTCGTCACGCATTTTGCTTGTCACCCCACCTAGCCGAGTTTTCATCCACTCTTGAATCAAACATGAACTTTTTGTTTCATGTCGTTGCGCATCCATGCCTTCCCTTTCCCTACGTGCTCTGGACCAGTTTCTGGTACTCCATGCTGCAGTTCATGACGGGCCCGCGTCGCAAAGCCTCCGGACTCCTGACCATCGCCAAGTCGTACTTAGGGAACCCCAAGATCATGCGCTTCCTGTTCCCCTACTCCTGCGGGGACGACAATCTCATCGTGGAGGATAACCTGTTGCAGACGTGCATGTCGACGATGCCGAGCTCGGCGCATTTCTGGACGAGATGGACGGATCAACGCTCAGCATCCGCATGGGTCGCGAAATTACTGGCAATGTTCTCGGGCTTAGCACTTGGTGTGGTGTGGTGTTTGGTGGGAGTCGGAGGGAGCAGGTTGCTTGTACATAACGTTCGGCAATAGTCTAAAGGCAGTCTATCTCGTGAAGCGGTGGCACTTGTCTTTTGTCACGGTGCCACGCGTCATATGCCTGCAGTTCGATAAGTTCGTGCGTACCTTGGACGTGATGCACACAACGCAGAGGTTGTTTTCCGTGTCGCCGGGGGGAAGGGCACCCAAGTATGGCGGTGCCACTGTACGGACAAGATGCCAAGTATGTTTGGTCGGAGCTTTATTTCGTTGAGTTGACTCTCCGTATGCACAAGAATGTGGGCTTGAGCGGGGTACATGCAAGTTGCGTGAACATGAAGGCAAGGGGTGCGATTTTTTGGTAGTGAGGGAATGATGCGTTTTGGTTTGGATAGGGTTAAGGTTAGGGATCTTTGTTTTTTTTTTTATGTTCATGGTTTCGATGCGTCCTGAGTTGGTGCATGTCGTGACTACGTTTGCACTGTCGAAGGTGGTCGTCGAACTTTGGGTTGTGAGCCCTAACATTGTGGATTTTACTACGGATGGATTGGGTTTTGGGATGCATCCTACGGTAAAAGGTGTCGATGAGAGATGAGCGTTTTGTACGTTGTTGTTTCTCACATTAGCTCTGTAGTCCACAAAAAATGGGGAGCCCGTGGTTTCAAAACCCGACACATGCGACGCCGCGGGGAAACAATAACAAAAATAGGGTACAAACCATTCGGAAAAAGAAAACAGAATGGTCGAAAGAAAGGAACAGCTACCGCACCGACCGGTCGAGAAAAGAGCCCTCGGAAACCGATCAAAATAAAACACAAAAATATAGGAGGACGCTTCCCACACCCGCCTAAAAAACCACAGGGTAACGTACCAGCACCAGGCATCACGTACCAGTAAGTGGTATGGACATGTATGGAGTATCTACGACGAAGGATACAACACGCACACGCACGCACGCGTGCGGACAAAAAGTACCCACCTGGATATGGGCAATCAGCTGATCAGAGCAAAAGAGGATGTGTCAGCCGCGAGGGTCAAGTGGAGGAACGACTTTGCCCGAATTCGTTACAGCCTTCCCTGTGTATGTAGTGCCACGGCGGCCGGGATCCAAATGCCGGCTAATACTCCGAACGCAATGAATGGGAGAGGCTTTTGCGGTGGGAGTCACACTTCGAGTGAGTGATGTGCAAAGAAAAGTCAAAGTTGTTCCTCTCCTGACCTACAGCTTGTCGTATTCGCACATCAAAAGACTTTGTATTTTCACCTGTAGTTCGAATGGCGTCATATATCTTTGATCTCAGAGCAGAATAGTTTCTACAAAAAAAACGTTGCAAGGGACACGGGTCACTGTGTTCCCCCGCCTTGCGAAATAATGGATTAGGAAAAGTTCAAAATAGTGCACACACCATACAGCAAAAACTACCCGTTCGAGACACTGCCGCATGTACAACCACGGTCGAGCGGGATGTGTGTTGCAGTCTTTGCAGTGAGTGGAGGGAAACCGGCTGGTGATGGATATTCAGCCTCGTCATTTTTATTGTTTTATTCAGGCAAAACTCGTTGCCCTGTATTCCACCATATTTTCTCTATTGTAGAGTGAACCAAATGTTGAAGTGTGATTCACCCATCCATCCACATGCGTCAAGAGAAGAGAGACAAACAAGAGGAAACCGTTTACCGGTCGATCGAGTCGTACTGTATGTGGCAGCACTCACTCGTACTACTTTCTACTTTGTTCCCATCGTGTTGCCCGTCGTGGACCACAGGATAGTGGTGCCCACATGAAGAGAGAAAAAGAGGACCCGGAACACTTCGATTCATCCTTTACACGCAGCATGACTGCAAACAGCTAGCACAAGAAAGTTAGCCCCTCAGCGGATAACACGCTCTACGCGATTAAGAGAACTAACAAATGAAGGGTGACCCCCGCATTCAGCAAAATGATGGCACCTTCAGCTCAATCGGCGGTGTAAACAGCAAACGCCCCAGGATAAATACACAACAGCAGTTATAATGGGGGGTGGAGGGGGAGGGCGCACTCGCCCCCCTCACCTTGCCCCCCCTCGTGTAATTCGTCCACCGCAGGACTCCCAAAAACCATCGAACAAAACTTCACCAACGTACCTACCTAACAATCAAATCGGGGGTGAACCGATCTTTGAGCACACACCTGTCAAAATCTAGGTTACGGCTAGCCCCAACGAAAACGAAAACCCTGGTGGGCACAATATTCACGCACGAGCGTAGAGATGAAGGCGAAAAAAAAACGCAGACGCCGAATATACCCTTTCCAGTCCTTCAGACCTTAACAAAAGCCGCTTGATCCAAGCACCACACTCGAAGACAAATTGATGCATACAGTCAGTACACCCGACGCTTCAACAAGGCCCCCACGCCCGTACCAGCGACAAGCCAAATCATCTCGGCCGAGATAACGCAAAATTCCGTCTTGTGCACCAATCAGTGCAGGACGAAAATCAACCGAAGTGGCAGCTCGTTGCTGTGACCTCGCCAACGAAGCCAAACACTAGCCGCAAGCAAACGCACACGGCGAATGGGAAACGAAACCGTGAAAAACAAGACACGGGAAAGAAGGAACAAGTGGGAACCCAGTAAAACCTACACCTGGCAAGCCGTCGGGCACCGTATCGTCGTTTCTTTTGGTCCGCCCGACCACTAGACAGCGGTGCGGATTGCAGCAAGAAAGTAATAAAAAGAAACATTCTCACGCGGTCAGGCCCGGTCCATTCAGGTAGGAATCGGTCGAGCCTGCGCGGTACTAGTTAAACCGGTTCCTCTACAACCTTGCCCAATTAGACGAAACCACCTCGTACGAGCGAGACAATCGTAACCCGTTGGAACCGACAAGTTCGAAATTTGCTTCTTGCGCTTTTCAAAACCGAAAACAGCAAGGGCAGCGTCTCACAGGTCAGCCTAGCCGGCCAAAAGCTGAGACCCGCATCCCTCCGCCTCTTGAGTCTTGCCTCCTCTAGCACTTAAAGATTCGCCCTGGCTATGTGAAACGATGAGGACCACGCGCTACGAAGGTCTCCATTTCTTCAAGGTTCAGCACCCTCCCTCGGCCGGTGGTAGCATCCATGTTTATCCACTCGTTCATGTTGTTGCTACTCGTCGCCCGCGGACCCCTGCTTCGTCACACAACACCCAGCAGAAGTGTTTTCTTGACCATTTCGTCACACAACACCCAGCAGAAGTGTTTTCTTGACCATTTCCAACACGTTTGTTTTAACCACACAAAAACAAAGGACGCCTTGAAGAGAGTACGTCATCAGTTTCCCACGTACGACATGAACTTCAACGCACGAGCACGGGCGTATTGTGGGCTTGGGCGGGATGCATGAACACGCGAAAAAAAGAAAATGTCGCAGGCCAAACACGCCGACGAAATTCGCCGTACACGTCCGTACGGTAGGCAATCGTGGAGACCAGCTTGGGGCTCAACTACCGCGGAAAACTATCGGGAATTTTCTACCGAGAGGATCCGCTTGAAAATGAGTCAAAGAACTCAGTGGTTCAATTGAACGATCTGGACGTTCTTGCAGACGAGAGTAAGTGTTGGGCACTGATGAGGGGGGCGGGAGACGACGGCAAAAAAAAAAAAAACAAAGGCAGAAGCGGCGGGACCAAGATCCGCTCGCTCCGCGAAGAATCGACGACATCACTTTCGAGGAGGAAAACCTTAACACACATATGCATACAAGTACGTGGGAAACTGAGACCGGCATCCTCTTCCACCCATCGTTGAAGTTGGAAGGCGTCGCGGCAAACAGGCAACTCAGGGAGAGGCTCGTCTCGTACTACGAAGCGCTCTTGGGATTGGGAACATATCCGCGTGAGAAGGTACATGTGGCCGGTCTAGAGACGATTGCCTGCTGATTGCCCCGGCTGTGAGGCTGGCTGGCCCTCGTGGGTGCTCTCTGTATCCATCTCCCGCCCCGCCTACCCCTAAACCAAATAAATAAAAAGTCTCACCGCAGCGGCGGAAAACCTGGGGGCAGAGCGCTGTACCCTCCACCCTCTTCCATCATGTGCGACCGGTCCGAGGAAAAGTGGTCCACGCACTCCCGTGCCGGAACGACCCGGAACATCCTGCGTGCAATATTGGTGGTGGGCGGAGAGGATGAATCGCGCGTAGTCTGTCTGCTGTGTCTTTTGAGGCGGGGGCATATACTTTTTCGTCGTTTCTGCCAAACACGAACAAAAGGGTTTCTTGACCTTGGTGAGCGTAACAGTCCGCCAACGGCTGCCGGATCGCCCTGTTTCAAACCTATTTTGTAGGAATGCTCTGGCCGCAAGTACGTGGCAGTGTGTGACTCCTTCGAGAAGTTGTTGTGCATGTACATACGTACGTCAAGTAATCACGGTCGGCATTCTTCTTCCAAGTAACTCTGGAGGTCTGCATTCTACAAGTCGCCGCCGGCATCCGCATTTGGGCGGCGTTTCTAGCGTTAGCCAAAAGCCGAGGTTCTGCCAAGGCATGCCTGCGCGAGTACAGAGGTTTTCGTCGATACAAGTTGCGCCGTTACAAGTACAGCATACACTTGCTGCAACGGCCCCGCTGCTCGAACTTAGTTGGCAACTCCGCCGAGCGAAAACGCCGCCTTGTTTGTTGGCATTGTCAAAAATCAAAAACACTTGAGTTGTCATCCAATCGATACCTACGTTGGACGTCGTCGGCGTTTGATCTCATGATCATATTTGCCGATGATGCGTGTGGATAACGCCTCTATTGCCAAGGGAGAGATGTCGACCGCAGCAAACGGTCATGTCGCACCACTTCAGAACCTTTGCCTCATATATCTTGGGCGGGTAACTGTGTCTTCACGTGGCACAACGCAACGTCCAACTCGTCAATAACGAGAGGGTGCTAGTAGAACGCTTGCATGAGGAGACGGCAGCGGCATAATCAACAACATGAGCAGCAATAACTCACTGCCTATATTGCTGGTCGATGTTCATTAGTTTCCGGAACGCCTGCGTCATGTAGAGCGATGCTGGGCTTGGAAAGTCCAGCGTCGAGTCGAGGTCGTACACCCAGTTGCCGTGTGGATGCTGCGCCAAGAGAATGACTTTTCAACGGTGGTGCATATCGTGCACAAATCGATGGACAGGGGGCACGGGGGGGGGAGAGGGAACAAAAACAACAGAGGCGGGGGGTTGGAGGGCTATACAAAGCATGCGACCTCCGGAGGCAACGAGGCCAGTGAAAAATCAACACTTTCACTTGCCACGTCAGCGGCCGACTATTTGTACATGCGCTGTCTGGAGGAGGGACACCGGCGACCAAGCCACAAAATTGGAAGTGGAGGGCGAATTCCAAGGGTGATGTTGGGCGTTGCACAGCAACTATAGATAGTCACTATGAAGCCAGAGACAAAACTTGCTCTGAATGTCAGTGGCAATGCCATCCCAGTCAGAAAACATCACAGGGATGGATGACAATGAACCACGGAACGGTGAAGCGGCAGCATTTTTCGTCCCCTTCTTTCCAGGAGGAACACGGCTCTGTAAATATCTCAGGATGGTGCGTGAAATAGAATGTAGATTGGAGTCTTACTGCAGCAGGAGCAGAGAGCGAAGCCGAGGCGTTGGTGCTGTTAACGCAACCGGCACTTCGACTCAGAGCGATAGGTGTGGTGTATTTTGCCGGACAAAATTAGGAAGGGGGATGCGGGAAGCAAATAAAGGCCGCTGCCTCCGGCGAGCGAAACAGGACACATGAAAGACTCTGGATAATAGTAAAGGACATGACGGGACAACAATCAGGGCTCTGTTTGCGCTGTGCTCCTGCCCCTTTCCACACCGAACTGCCCGATGACCTCTATGTAGTGTTCGCGTGTCCACCACCATTGGCGGCAGTGCGGTCATTGATAGGTGCCGTTTTCTTCGCGGTATTGAAGCGGGCGGTGTACCACGGTGTGTGTGTAAAGGTGTGTAATGTGTGTATTCCTCCCCCATCGGTAAATGTTTGAATATTTTATATATTTATTACAGTCCAGCGGGGAGCGGATGCACCAGTCGTGAAGATCTTCCTTGATGAAATCATCGTCATCCGGGACAGGATGACACGAAATACAGCAGGGGACCCATGATTTCATCGGGAGCAAAGGTCGTTCCTCTTGAAAAACAGAATAGGCTCCAACCTGTCTCGCTCTGCAGGTGGTGCAGAACTTTCAACGGAGTCCAACATCGCACAGCATCGCAGGTATAGACTATTGTTGTTGATTGAGTCGTACTCCGCGGCTGCCCTACATCCTATCTAGTACTGCAGTCGATGAATAACTACAGTAATCTCGTCCTGCTGCTGCTGGTGGTGGTGGTAAAGCAGTACATATGTGTCTGGCGGCGTACAGCAGTTGTTGAGAGCACCGACAATTCACTACCCATGTTTTGTATAAATACGATTACTAAAAAGTGGGTTCTGTATCTTCTCTCCAGTGAACGCGCAGAGTGCCACCTCAGAAAATCAGACGACGGAAATGACGAGCCTATGATAGCTTCTCCGTAGATCCAAGATCTACCTGCACGTCAATGCTTCTACAATATAAAAACGTGCGTACTACATGGTCCCGACAGCAGCATGTTGCCGACGCAACAGCGAAGACACAAGCACCAGAAACACGACAGAGAGGGACGGGAGGGCACAGTCCCAGAGTAATTCGTTGTATGAACAAGGTGAAGAGGGGTCGCGACAAGCAACGTTACCCACTTCGAAGACGGAGACGAACGTCTGTGCAGTCTCCAACTTCTCTCAGTTCAACAGCCAGCGCTGCGTGCCACCTCAGAAAGAACCAGTTTGGACATTTGTTTGTTTTATGCGTATTAGACTATGCATGTTCTATCTGGTTTTATTCAAGAATAGACCGGTACACATGGCACTGAGTTTTTTTTCAGCGCCACTGACTGTTCCCATTGTTGTAGTTTGGGCACAACCACTGTCGACAGTAATCCATGGAAAATCGAAGGCCGGCATACAAGTAGATAACATGCCGGGACAGACATGGACGGAATCGCCTGCTGTGTGACTTGATGCTTGGTGGTTGATTCATACGTTAAACAGACAGCTCTTTAGAGGTGTATGCATAGAAGGGTTGTTGCTTACCGTGGTAATCCCACAGAACTGGCTCGTCACGTCTGTCGGCAAGACGCTGGAACCACACCGGCACTTGACGGGCCGCGTTTGACACGAAGACGACGGAGAGCTGTACGCCGGCAGACTCGGCCCTACCGAGGAGGTGGTTACACAGGCGCAAAGAGTTTTCTTCGCAGTAGTGGGATGTGTACCAGCGGCAGTCTGCTCGGGTGCATTCCTGGGAATGAGGGGCAAACAGCAGCAGCACCGACCGTGTTATTAATCATCACGAACACGTGCGTCGAGAAACAACGTCTAGAAAGAGAACTACAGAAAAGCAATGGGAGGGAGGGAGGGAAAGGGGTGGAGGGTTGGTCACCCAGGTGGAACTACAGCAGCAGCAGTCACGCTCGCTTGTTGCTTTGGTGAGAGAAACCAGCCACGAGGGAAAAGACAATACTCGTTCGGGCCGCAGCGCGAGCAGACACAGCAGTACTCGGTCTCATTTCACTGCGTCTTGAGAGGGCTCCGCGGCAGGTGGATGGAGATTGTAGTGGTGTGGGGTCTACGATCGGTCCACGAGCAGCGAGCTCGGCCACACATGACCAAGTTGGGCGAGATCTGATCCACCACTGATTCGAACTGTACAATGGTACAAAAACGAATCTCTGTCGTCTTGCTTGCGTACCCTCCCCTCTACGAAATACCGTACGAAATCCACGAAAAGTTTGAGTACGAAACACACACACCAGCACGTCCGGTGAGAAAAGCTACGCTGTGTGAACCGACTTCCCGCTCGCTCTTCTCCCTACTGCAGCCATCCTCCCCAAGTGTCTTGTACGCTGGAAAGGAGAGGTGGATCCCATAATGTATCTACACCTCCGGTTCTCATGCAGGTGGTGTCTTTTACGTATGTTACCTGCTACAAGACCGGGGACTTTGGTGTTGCGAGCGCGTTGCGTCAGAAACGCAACATGCGTGATCAGCACACAACCCGGACACACAAGGATGTTGGAAGCAGGGGAATCAAGCCACTACTGCCGTTATTTGCCTAGCCATCCTCTCTGTCGGAGACCGAGCCGTCCTCACCAGTGGCCACAAGTCGGTGCCATTCCGCACGCGGCATCAGACAAGGACTACAACGAACCGCCTTGTACAAAACCACTGTTCACACGCAAGCTCCGCACATATCTTGGGAGTTTCGACGACGTGTTTCTCACCAGCACCGGTCGTCTTGCTGAGGGTGGCGTAGGCGCCACTTCGGCGGAACTCACGGCTCGAGCCGCGCCATCAGAAGGCCCACCGCCTTCCCAGTCTTTATTTCCGCATGGCCCCATGAGCCAGCGAGCCTCAAGCGATGGATGCCAGCGGGGGAGGCTTGTGTGTGTGGGGGGACTCAAGCTTGTCTATTTTTTTATTTTCTTAAGATGACACAGCGAATTTATCTCTAACGAAGGAAAGAGTCGAAGACAGATTATTAGCAATGAATCCAGAGCGTCAGTAAAGGCTACCTGTGTTTCCATGATTTCCCGAGAAGCATACAGCGACATCTCCCCCGTGGGTAACAAGGTGAGCAAGACAGTGTGGTAGCCGTTTTGTGCATCTATCTGCATGATATGCTGGGAATGTACGGAAGGAATGTGCTGGGTAGTTGGTTTGTCGGGTGTGTTGCCGGTGGCACCCTTATATCCGTGTTCCATCTCCAGTTTCCGTTTTGGAAGGTTTTTCGAAACGAGGAGTCTTCCTTTCCGTGTGTGTAAATTTTTCTGAAACGAGGAGCCTGTCAGCTAGTCAACGTCAGCGAACAGACCATAGCGAGCGGTACAATGTTCAAGATACGATGTATCAGTATCAGTACAGGCAGTAGTAGTAGTTGAGAGAGAGGCCCTGACAGTTAAACAATGCGAAGGTGTAGCGCGTGCTTGTAAACGCATAGGTTCTGCGTGCTGGGTGCGCGTATCAACTTTCTTCTTTGGTTGATCAATATAACGACCGACCATGATGCATGGCAGCGAAGCGGAGAAGAAGTGAAGAAGTTGATGATGAAAATGTTCACACCCCGAGACGCGCTTGCCCCGCAACCACGTAGTAAGGGTGCCATAATAGAACACCCGACAAACCGAGTTCCCCTAAATCTTCCGTCTACAACTTCCCAACATAACATACACAGATAGATACACAAGCCAAACTGCCTTGTTGGGCCTGTTACCCACAGGGGAGATAGATATCGTTTATGCTTGTTTGGGAAACCGTAGACATACAGGTAGCTTTTCGCTCACGCTATGGATTCCTTGCCAATCTATCTTAGACTTATTTCTATAGATAGAGATGGATTTGTTGTGTAAGGAAGCGGAGAAGCGGCGGGGAATCGCTGGCGAATCGGGGGATTTTTTTTTATTGCAAATTTTCCAAGTGGAAAAGCCCCGCCGGGGAGGAGCGCCGGAGCGGGCAGTTTTGGTTTGACGTCGGTTGGGCGGCGGGGTGTTTCTTCTTGTTGTTACCAGTCACTCGTGTCATGTGTTATACAATGAAGGACAGCAGCATATATGTACGTGGTGATTGTCCTTTGCACAAATAAATGGTCAAGACACGATGACGTGTCGAGGTTGTTCCAGAAGAGGGTGTGTTAAAGGATCTAGGTGCATACGTACGTATGTATGTGGATCATGGAAGAGTATTGCTCTTGAAGGTTCGGGGAGATGCAGCTCCCCACGGAAGGATAAAACAGGGGACAGGATTTACTAGTCCCTGCTTGAGCAGCTGATCCTGGCCCCATCTTAGACAGTCCTCTACCTTCCCTTGGCAACAGCTACTGCAGCTGTTCCACACGAGTTAATAACAAGTGAGTTCGTCTTCACGGGTCTCCCAGATTGCACCGCGCGTGCAAATCCGTTACACTTGGCGTCGGCTGCAGGACGTACAGCGTGCTTTCTGGGGTTTGTGTTTGGGCGGCTCGCGCCTGCTGCTGCACGCAGCTTTCCGCGCTTTCGTCTCCACACAACTCAGCTTTGCCTCGCCGATCGGTATGTCTCAACTTAGCGTCGACTCCTCGGCCTCGGCCTCGGGCAGTCCAGAGCCCTCAGAGTGTTCTCGCTCGCCGGTGTCGCCACTCAGTGCTTCGGCTTTCGGGCCGACAGCCGACGATTCCCAATCGTCGTTGCTGCCGTCTTTCGATGGCGCGCGCGCTGCTGACCCCATCATAGAAGCCACCCGTTTGTCAGAGCTTTGCGCTCGGCGCCGGCGGGAGGAGTTCGCCTCCACGGCTTCTTTCTGCTGACGCTAACCCCGTGGGTGCTGTCCTCAAATTGCCTGTACCCACAGCAGAAGCTTCGGTTTCCGCCTCTGTCCTTTCGAGTACCCAGCCTTCTGTTTTTGCAGCCGCTGGTGGTCAGTCCTAAGTTTTCCCGCCGGAACCATGTTGCTGATTCCACGTTTCCTCTCACCTCCACCGCCGCTGAGCCTTCTGCTGTTGGGGCAGACATTGACGTTGACAATACTGGCTCTGTAGTGCCACGCTTGCCTCATGGCTCTGTCGTTGGCCGCACACTGCATTTCGATTACACCGTGCCGGCCATTCCTTTTTCGTCGCGTAGCAGTCGTGCACAAGCCGCCGCTCGTGCCCAACGACTTCATGACCGTCATGCACCCGTTTCAGTGGCATCAGTGCCTTTGGTTTTGACTGCTTCACATGCATCTGTTCCGGTGGTTTCGACTGCCTTTGCGGTTCCGACCGCTTCCAATGCAACCGTCTCAGTAGTTTCGACTGCCCCCGTTGCATCTGCTCCTGTCGTTTCGACTACCGTGGCTGCTTCCCTTGGTCTTGATGCCCCTGTTTCTATAGTTTCGACTACTTCAACTGAAATTTCGGTTGCTGCCCCACCATCTGCTGCAGTAGCTTCCCATATGTCTGCAGCATCTCCCACTTCCGCTACCTGTGTCCCCGTAGCTTCCCCACTGCCAGCCCCAGTTTCGACTGTTTCAAACGCGTTGGCTTCAGTAGCTCCGTCGATGCCTTCAGTTTCGACTGCCTCTGCTGCATCGATTCCTGTAGCTCCGCCTTTGCCCCCACTGATGGCTATTCCCCGTGTTCGCCCTATGGGCGTCCGGCGTACACATTCGGCTATCACCCACCCAGCAGTTACAAAGTGCCAGTAGCTTCGTCTCGAACAGCATCCCTCACTGCTGCACGTGTACCCACAGCCGGCTCTATGTCTGCCGTGTCGACTGCTGTTCCCACGCTAGTTGCGGCTTCGGCTCCTCGAGCAGTAAACTCGGTTACTCCTGCAGAACCCTCTGCCGATGCACCTGTTAGTTTGCATATTGCGTTGCCTCCACCTCCCCCCATGCTCTCCTCCTCACACGAACGTCCCGCCACTTCCGCTGCTTTATCCCTTCTGAAAATAACAAAAAACGACAACCGTCGTCTTCGCGACCTCCTCCGACAATCTACCATGGTCGCCACCCAGCCTGTGGTCAAGCCTGAGGCGGCCTCCCTCGCTGGTGGAGCCGTCTCCACCCCTGCGATCCGAGCAACGACCGCTGGCGCCGGCGAGAGGTCTTCGGCTACCCCCCGCCCGGCGTCGCCGGTCCCCCTGGCCCCGCTTTCCACGGCTTCGGCAGCAACTGCGGCTTCAGCTGCCCCGGCTGCTTCGGCGGCCCCCGCTGCTTCGGCGGCCCCCACTATTTCGGCAGCCCCCGCTGTTTCGACAGCCCCAGCGGCTCCGGCTGCACCGTGGCGACTCCGGCGTCTTCGGCGTTCCAGCCCAAGGCCCGCCGCGTCAAGGCCAAGCCGGTCCAGCTCACCATGCGAGAGAGTAGCTCGGGCGAGGACTCGGGCTGGAGTTCCGCGGGAGCGCCTCGCCGCTCCCCAGAGCCATCTTCATCGGCGGGCGATGGTGGGGCACGGCAGCAGGCCAAGCGCCACACGAACGGGACTCGTGGCAGTGGAGGCGGATCGGGCTCAGGCTCAGACTGGAGTCTCACCCGGAAGCACGGCGCTCGGAAGGGAGCTTCTTCCAGGCAGGTAGTCCCGTCCCTTATGGATGCGACGTTGAGTGATCGTTTCCTTTTACATGATGTTTTTTTTTCTCAGGCTTCGGCCCCCCCCTCAACTTCGGTTGTTGGTACGGTTTCGCCCCCCCCTGTTTCCTCGGACTCGGGGCTTTTGCGTCGAGTTGAGTTTTCGGACCTTCCCCCGCCTTTGGCTTCCCCCGTTTCTTCGGAACTCTTTGCACGTTCTGTCCCTTCTGCCGCATTCAATGCTCTAGACTCCGGACATGTACGACGCGTTGAGTTTTCGGACCCTCCCCCGCCTTTAGATTCGCCTGTTTCCTCGGAACCCTTTGCGCCCTCTGTCCGTTCTGCCGTATTCAATGCTATAGACTCCGGACGTGTACGTAGGGTTGAGTTTTCGAATCCAGCCCCGGTTTCGACCGCCCCTGTTTCTTTGGAAACCTCTGCACCCCGTAGCCTTTCTACCGCTCGCCATGTCGTGGATCCACGACTGATGCAGAACCATGGGTTTTCGAACCTCAACCCCCCTTCGGCGCTTGTACCACCTGTGCCGGGTGTTTCGCGTAGTATGTTGTCCTCAGAACATGCTTCCACAGCTGCTTCGGTAGCCGTCGCCCCACCCCCTTCTGTTTCCGATCATCGTGCCTTGCCACTTTCTTCTAACACGGCACACACTCGTCAAGCATCGATCGATGCGACTGATGCAGCTGCTCGTAATGCTCATGTAGCTACAGTACAACGAGCGTACATCACCCTCGACTTGAAAAAAGTTGAGAATGTCGCTACCATGCCCTTCTCCGCTACTCTGTTGCCGGGAGACGGCTATCAGCAGCTTATTCGCACAACAAGAACGGCTTTGTCCGATATTTTGCTGTTGTGTGATGAGCAGAGTGAAGGTTTGACAGACACTGATTTTGTGCGTGGATGGGAACTTCCTCTCGAAAAAAAACTCTTGAGTGCGATCACCCCTGACAGGCCTTCTACCGCCGATCTCGTCCTTGCCATTATTGATGACTTTCGGCTAATGAAACGGAGCTTGGATGGAGGAGCCCCTGGAGGACCAGACGCTTTCCAGATACTGTTGCACCACCTGGCGGAGCAATTTGACGTCGGAGACAGCCAAGAGTCGTTTTTGCAGCTGCAACATTTTGGTGTAGCAGATGGTACTCCTTTCGCGGATTATGTTCGGGCTTTTCCGATTGTTGGTTTCGTCTGTGACTGGCTCTGAGCGTACTTTGGCCCCTAGTGTATCCATGGTTTTCGAAATAGTGCGAAACTCGGTCGACAAGCAATTTCCGAGTCTGTCTCCGCTTTTGTACCCGGGTGCTTTGGCCACTGCGGTCACTCCCTTTGAATCAATTGCAGTTATGTGGGAGGCGTTCGCGAATCTTCGTTCCACCACATCACGGTGCACCGCGATACAATCCCTTTGACGGCATTCGTGACGTCTTCCGGGCTTTTCGAGTGGTTGAAGATGCCTCAAGGCAGTTCGGCTGCCCCTGGGTGGTTTTGCAAAGTTGTCAATGAAGTCATAAAAAATCTCCGCGGTGTTGCATCGTACATGGATAATTTGATCGTCTTTGATGACACCCCTGCTTCTCATGTTGGTACCATGCGCGCCCTCTTTGAACGCTTGCGTACGCACAACTTGAAACTCACGCATCCGAAAGCTACTGTTGGCGCTACTGAAGCAGACTTCCTCGGACACACCATCTCCCCTGACGGCGTTAGGCCTAACGGTGCCAAGGTTTCGGCCCTCACCAAATGCCTATGCCCAAGGATGTCAAGCAACTACGTTCCCTTCTCGGTGGTCTCAGCTACTACCGTAAGTTCCTCCCCAACATGGCTAAACGCGTTCGACCTCTGACTACTCTACTCAAGAAGCAGGAGAAGCTTATTTCCACCCCTTCCATGGAGCAAGCCGTTCGCGTTTTATTAGCTGAGTTGGCCAATCCTCCTGTTGTGGTTTATCCAGATTGGGATGCCGTTTCAGACGGCTCGCGACCTTTTCATCTTTACTGTGATGCGAGTCGCTGTGGTTTTGGTGGGACTCTCGAACAAGAACAGCCACATGGTTCCATTCGCCCAATTGTCTCCATCAGTCGGGCTACTTTGGACTCAGAACGTCGCTGGACTCCCCTCGATCTCGAGGCAGGTAGCATCGTGTGGTGTATCAAGCGCCTTCACGGTTACTTGTGGGGTACAAAATTTCGCATTTTTACCGACCGCAAATCTCTCGAACATTTTGGTAAGGTGTGGGGGGGTGTATTCATAGTCGTGCATGCCGTAGTCGTTAGACCATTGACCTCGCATCCCTACAAAGCCGGGACGGAGCACGCCGGGTTCTCACCGGACCAGGCTCTCACATCACCAAGCG